AGCCGGGCACACAGCCCCAAGCTGCATCCCTCCCCCACAAAAACGGTCTCTGGTGTCCCTGCCGTGGTGACCGAGGGGTGACAGACACCCCACGCCTTCGCATCACCTGAGCAGGCAGCACAGACGTGACACAACCCACCCGGTGCCGCTCTGTGAGGTGGCAAACCGGGCAGGCACTGCCCGAGCCCCGCCAGCCCGCCGGGACAACGCCAGCCCGGGGCTGGGCTGCGGGGAAACCAGCCACATCCTCCCACCACCTTCTCCGTCGTGCTACTGCGTAACCAGTCACAAACCAGAGGGCAAAAAACTCACAGGCGTGAGAACTGCTCGCTTCTGCTGGGTTGGTTTTAACCTGCGGCAGCTCCCAGGCCTGTTCCTGGCTGAGCGAACATGGAAAGTGCTTCTGTCCCCGGGCCCGCTCCTGCACCGACTGCCCCTCGCAGCACCGACACTGCGCTGCCCGGCTGCTCCCCAGCTCCCAGCGCTGCGCAAGCAGGGGGCAAATTCAGAAGTTTCATCCAGTTCCTCTCTTTTACCAACTATATTGCACTGTACCCCCAAGGAAAGCTGGGGTTAGAGAGAAACCCTGCGAGCACAGCCTGGGGCACGATACCTCGGGGCTGCAGACTGGAGACCCTGGCCTGCCCTGGCAGGATGCCTGCAATTGTAATGACAATAAAGATTTCCATGTGCTTCTGGAAAACATCAGAGCCAAAAATGTAGCGACAAGCTTTTCTTGTTCATGAAGGCACTTTGTACAGAGGAAAATACAAAAGTCTTCCAGTGCACGCACGCTGAAGCAGCAGATACTTCACACCAGCCCTGGCACTGCCAGAGACAAGAGGATTTTCTAGACCTAGACCAGCTGGAAGGTTGGCTTAATAGCTTTCACCAGGAATATTAAACACACAGATCTTCAGGGTGTAACAGCTGCAGGAGCTGTGTGGTCTGCAGACAATTCGTGTGGCCGAGCTGAGGGACCCCAATTTTGAACAGCTATTCAAGTCTCTGAAAGCACCTCACATGCACAGAGTAGTGTCACCCTCCTGTCCTCAAACCCCTCACCGTCACACCCGCACACTCATGCATAAAACAAAGTTGCAAAAAAAAAGGGAGATAACATTTAGCCTGGCCCTGTGTTAACATTGCAGAGCAGCACAGTGAGCTGATGAGGACTCTTTGGCCCCTCTGGAAGGCATGGAAACACAGTGATGTTTCACTAAGATGGCAGGCTGCATGTGGCTCACCGAAGCCCCATTTATTACAGAGATGGTTATCAAACGGCCCCAGCCCCCGGGGGCTCAGCCTGTCCCTGTCCGGGGCAGAAGCGGTCCAAGAAGTCCAGGTAGGCCTTCTTCTGTGGCGCAGCCGCAGGGACGAAGTGCCCGCCGGGGTGGGTGAGAACAACAGGGTCCACGAAGTGCTGGGCCAGCTCCCTGCTGAGGGGGGCAGCAATGACGGCATCAGCATCGCCCACGACGTGCAGCGTGGGCAGGGTGATGGGCTCCCGGTAGAAGTGGCCGTGGGCTGGGGCACGGCTGATGAAACCGGCCACCAGGATGGCGAAGGCCACAGGGAAGCGAGGGTCGCCGCGGGCCCGCAGGGCGCACACCATGGCGGCCAGCGCCGCGCCCTGGCTGA